AAAAAAAAAAAGAAAGAAAGAAAGAAAACGTCAAAGTATCCACAGGAAAAAAATGGGACATCACAGATAACTCCCACATTAAGGAATATTTTAAATGAACGTGCAAGAAAGAGTACAGAAAGAAGAAATGAAGGACAAACACTGGAGAACAATGATAATAACTAGTATTTATTGACATCACACCATAGACACCACTCCAGGAATTGCATGTGTGTCATTTCAGGTAAACCTTGCAACACTGTTGAGGTAGGTGTCACTTTCATCAGCTCCATTTCATATGAAATAATAGAAAGAGCACAATTATTTCCAAATATCAGAAAGAAGAAAAATGGCAGAAGCAGGTCTTAGCTCAAGGGTTCCTGGTCAGAAGCCCACACTCTCAACACAGAGCCTCACAGAATCCCCACAGGGAGGCTAGGAAGAGTTAGTAGGAAGGAGGCAGCAAGCCACTGGCCTGAAAAGGTGGATGAACAAGGGTTGGAAACATAGAGGAAATATTCTCAGACAACAGATACAGCACCACACAGAGTCACTCAACGTTTCTTTCATTTCCATTCATTTCATAAAATGAATGGATCAGTGAAGAATGAAGGGAAATCATAAAAGAAGCAGAGAAGCTAAAGCCTTTTCAGGGTGGAAAAGATGCACAAGAATTAGGGTAATTTTAGAAAACAACATCCAGTCTCCAAATATCAGCCCTCCCATCTCTATTGAGTAACTAGTCTGAATTTTTACAGAGCTTTCAGATGTAATCATTAATTCTATCCATATTTTTAGAAACCAAGGAGAATTACAAATGCTGAAAAGCCAGAGGTTAATAAATCTTTAAAAAAATATTAAGGGAAAGACACACAGACTTCAAAAAATACAACCATATGTTAGAACAGAATCCCTGGAGTGTTAAAAATACATTTAGATATAATCTATGGGGATGTTATAGACTAATAAATGCCTCATTTTGTGAAAATTGCATTCATTCAAAACTATAATGAGTGCCTAATAAGTGCTCTCATGAAGATTACATTTTTAAATGGGGAAGATGGGTACAGGAAGTAAGTAATCAAATATATACAGGAATATAAAACAGGTTAAGTATTATAGCAAGCAACATTTAGTAGGGATGCCATGTGTAGGATGGTCAGAGAAGGTTTCTTTAAAAAGGTGATCCTTTGAGAAGAAAGTGAGATAATGGACTACCCAGTGGGAAGTGCTGGTGCAATGGTCCTGTGGTTGGAGGGTGCTGGATGAGTTCACAGAGCAGAGGGCTTCTGTGTGACTGGCATGGAGGGATGGAGAAAGTATGTATCATAGACAACATTTGAGAAGGAACAGGGGGAAGGAGAATGAAGGTCTTGAGAGTTTGGAACAGAGCAATAATATGACCTAAAGTTTTATTTTCTCAGGATCTTTACTGTTGCTTTGTGGGAAATGCCATAAGGGATTATCCAGGCCATATTTGCCCCCTTCCTCTTCCTTCGCAGCAAGGTGCTAGACTTGCTCATGTTTGTACCTCTCTTGTCAAGGACAGAGTCTGACACAACAATGACAGTTGGATGAAACCTTTGGCAATGCAACTAGAACTGCAGTCATGTACTGGCGCCAGAGGAGGAACCACTCGTCCACATTACAGCAAAGACTATCTTGGAGGTTGTGGTGGTTAACTGACTAATTGTCAACATCAGTGGGAATGCCCAGGTGATTTGAGTCAGCATGGTTGCTGAATGGTATCAAAGGAGAATGAGCAGGAACAATTTCAGCTGATCTTCCTTGAAAGAGCTTTGTTGGGGCTGCTTTTCTTCAGGAGAGTTTTGGCAGTTTTTCTTCTAAGGATCTTTAGCTGTTTTATTTTCCCGTCTTCAGCTCGGACATTGTCTCCTGGTTTCCAGAGCAGATCCCTCAGCCTTGGCACAGATACTTCAGATTCAGCCCTGGCCCTTGGCCCTTTCTGGTGCAGATCCTTCAGTGTCCCGTCTCGGATCCTTCAGCCTCATTACAGACTTGCATGGGACACTGCCGTGGGCTCCAAGCCCTCGACTGGATCCTTCAGGTCTCCAGCGCTCAAACAGACATCTTGCTCTCTTCTATATCTGACTCTAGTAAGCACTGAGTAATACAGAGGTGTTATAAGGAATGCAAATGGGAACAGACACCATTTCAAACCTTATTTAACCAAACATATCTGTTTTGCCTGCTGTCAGTTTCCTTGAAAATCTCATTTTCACCCCACCGCAGGTCCAGATGGACATGCAAAACTAGACCTTATCTGGTTGGAAAACTGAGATCTATCTTGTTTGCATCCCAATGTTACAATGTGGGCCTCTGGGGAAGCTGTTGTACAATACACACATTTATTAAAAGCTTCTGCATCATCCGATAGGTACAGCCATCAGCCTTCTACCCTTACGATGAGCCGTCACATGTACCCCTAAAGCAGCAACCCCCCCCCAGTTTCCTGTTAAAGCTTTTTGTGTACTCACTTTGAACAGAGTGAGGGCAAGAACCAGATGCTTTGTAAAGAAAGGTCCTGGCTAAGAACAGACTCCTGACTTTCTCCACTGAGTGGTATCTGAGTCTTAAGTATATCAGTCATTCAGAAAATAGGCAACATGTTGTCTCTGACTCCCAGCTTAACTGTGCCCTATGAAGCCAAGGTTGCATTTCTATTCCTTTCAATCATTGAGTTTGCAGTGGGGATCCTGACTAATGCATTCATTTTCTTAGTGAATTTGGGGGATGTTCTAAAGAGGCGGCCGCTGAGCAACTCTGACCTTGTGCTGCTGTGTCTCAGCATCACCCGGCTTTTCCTGCATGGGCTGTTGTTTCTGGATGCCATCCATCTCATCTACTTCCAGAAGATGAAAGATCCACTGAGCCACAACTACCAAACCATCATCATACTCTGGATGATTACAAACCAGATCAGCCTCTGGCTCGCCACCTGCCTCAGCTTCCTCTACTGCGCCAAGATTGTTCGTTTTTCTCACACCTGCCTGCTCTGCTTGGCAAGCTGGATCTCCAGGAAGCTCCCCCAAATGCTTCTGGGTGCGATTCTTTTCTCCTGCATCTGCACCATTGTTTGTTTGTGGGACTTTTTTAGCAGATCTCGCTTCACATTCACAGCTGTGTTATCCAGGAATAATACAGAATTCAATATAAAAATTACAAAACTCAATTTCTTTTATTCATTTCTCTTCTGCAATGTGGGGTCTATCCCCCCTTTCTTATTTTTTCTGGTTTCTTCTGGACTGCTTATTATCTCCCTGGGGAATCACATGAGGACTATGAGAACCCAAACCAGAGACTATCGTGACCCCAGCCTGGAAGGCCACGTCAAAGCCCTCATAGCTCTGGTCTCTTTCCTCTGTTTCTTTGTGGTGTCATTCTGTGCTGCTCTCATATCAGTGCCCTTACTGATGCTGTGGCACAACAAGGTTGGGGTGATGGTCTGTATAGGGATGATGGCAGCCTGCCCCTCTGGACATGCAGCTGTCCTGATCTCAGGCAATACCAAGCTGAGGAGGGCATTGGAGAGGATTCTGGTCTGGGTTCAGAGAAGCCTAAAGGTAAGGTCAGATGGCAAGGAAGATCCCAGGACTGAGAATGGGCATGAAATTGGCTCTTCATGAATGTGTCTCTGATTCCTCAGCAATATACCTGTGATTCTTTATGAAGCCTTCTCATCTCTGTAAACCATAACTAGAAGTCTCTCTGCTTTACATCAGTGGGCTCACTCAAAGAAGAATAGAATAATTAAAGCTGATAAGTGACTCTGGCAAGTAAAATGGCATTGGTTGTCTTGGTTGGCTTCTTTTATTTAGTAATATACACCTAAGTTTTCATTATTCCTTGGCATGGCTTGATAGCTCATTTCTTCTCGTGCTAAATAATATCCCACTGTCTGAGTGTACCACACTTTATTTATCCATTCGCCTCTCAAAAGGAATCTTTGTCACTTCCAAGATTTGGTAATTATGAAACATAATTCTGCAAACATTTGTGTGCAGATTTTTCAGTGGAAATGAATTTTAAACTCATTTGAGTAATTTCCAAGGAAATCAAATGCTCAACTATATAGTAAAAGTATGTTTAATTTTCGAAGAAACCACCCAACTGTCCTCCAAAGTGGGTGTACCATTTTGCATTCCCACCATCAGTGAATGAGAATTCCTATTGCTCCACCTCCTTGCAAACATTTAGTTCCCTCAGTGTTCTGGGCTTTAGCCATTCTAATAGGTGAGTAGTGGTATCTTATTGTTTACTCTGCATTTCCCTAATAACTTATGGTGTGGAGTATCTTTTCAATGATTAATGGCATGACTTCATTTTAACATTATATTTTTGAGACTCATGCATGAATCACAACTTATTTATCAACACAAAATTGATGAAAAATTGTATCTATAGTTTTGGAGCTATTAAGAATAAACATTCTTTTTGTGGTCATAGTTTTTATTTCTCTTAGATAAATACCTAGGAGTGAAATTACCATGTCATAAAGTTGAAGCAAATTTAAATTATAAGAAAGAGCTAGAGTTTTCCAAAGTGATCTTAAAATTTATGTACACATCCACAATATAGGAAAGCTATTCTCTTTCTCACCAACAGCAATTTGGTGTTGTCAGTCTTTTTAATTTTGGCTATTTCCATGGGAATGAAATTATTCTAATTTGCATATACCTTACAACTAATAATATAGAGGACTTTTTCATGTACTTCTGGACCACTTATACAGCTTAAAATGTAAAGAAACTATTTGCTTGCTCATATTCTTACACCAAGTTGTCTTTTTATTATTGATTTATAGGACTTCATTGATTTTTAGGATTTATATGTGTATATATGTATACAACTCGTAACTTGGTTTTATATTCATTTATCTTTTTATTATTGATCTGTAGGAGTTTTTTGTGTGTACAAAATATATACCTATATACATATTTATGTTTGTGTGGAACATAACATATACATATTTATAAATTCTGAGAACAACTACTTTGTACTATATATAAAATATTTTACCCAGACTATAGTTTTCCTTTTCATTTTCTTAATATTGTATTGATGAGCAGGAATTCTAAATGTTAATAAAGTTCAATTTGTCATTTTTATCTAATGTTTGTGCTGGGTCCCATCTAAGAAATATCTGCCTGCCTCCAAAATGAAAAAATAATCTCCTATGATTTCCTTCAAAATTTTAATAGTTGTCATTTTTATGTTTGGAACTATAATTCATCTTGATTTAGGTACACTGAAATTTATTTTTCATACATTTGAAAATATGAATTTTTCATATGTCTATCCAGGTAGCCCAGTATCATTTATTGAAGAGTTTTCATTTCCTAATTGAATCAACTAGACATTGTTGTAGAAAACCTTATGACTATATATGTATGCATAAATCGCTTTCTGGTCTCTATATTCTGTTTTATCGAACTCTAGCTATCACCAATATTTTACTTTCTTGTTTACTATACGTTACTAGTAAGTTTTGAATGTAGATATTGTGAGTCTTCCAATTTACTTTTCCAAAGTGTTTTGGCTAATCTGAATCTATAAATTTTGGGAAAATATGTGTATGCATATATGATATTTTATGTATCATATATAAAATCTCCTTTTGGAATTCTAATTGTTGTGTTGGATCAAAATGGCAAGAGGAAAGGGAGAGGAAGGGGTGAAAAAAGAATTAATATGTGTCATATGTGTGTACCAACTCTCTACAATGAAGGTAATCATTATGTACTATAAACATGTATGAAAAACATAAAAACTTTAAAAATAAAAAATGTTTAGCTTGATCCTGTCTGAATAGGAATATCTCTTCCATTTATTTAAGTATTTAATTTCTCCTAATGTAATTTTTAGTATAGGAGTATTTTGATAAAGTTATCCCTAAGTATTCAATATTTTACAACGTTATTATTTATAGAACTATTTAAAATTTCATTAAATTTTTTGCTGCCAGTATATAAAAATTTATTTTTGCACATTAATCACATATTTTATGATTTTTCTAAATTAATGTTGTTGTAATTATTTACAATCTTCGAAATTTTATACTTAACCATGTCATCAGCAAATAAAACAACTTTTCTTCATTCTCCATCTTTATGGCGTTTATTTTGTTTAGCTTATTTCACTAGTGAGAATCTCCAGTAAAATACCAACTAGAATTAATGTGTAGTTATAGCTTTGGCTTGTTTCCATTACTCCCCCCACCCCCACCACCTCCCCACCCCCAGTACTGGGGATTGAACTCAGGACCTTGCACTTGCCAGGCAGGCACAGCACCACCCTAGCCCACCTTGTTCCCATCTTCTAATGGGAAAACATTCATAACTTTTTTGTTTTGTCATGTTTTTTGAGACAGGGTCTCACAATGCAGTTCAGACTGACCTTGGACTCACTAAATAGCCCAGGCTGGCCTCAAACTCATGAGGATCCTTTGGCTTCAGCCTTCTGAGTGCTGAGATTAGAAGTGGGTGCCACCACCCCCAGCCATAATCTTATCATTAGGTATAAATAATGTTAGCTGTAGATCACTTGTAGATTGTCTTTATCAGATGAAGAAAAACCATTTTTATTTCTAACTGGCTGACAATATTATCATCAATGGGTATTGAATTTTATTAAAAGCTTTTTCTGTATTTATTGATATTTTATGGTTTCTCTCCCCTCTTTTGTTAGCAACCACATTAACAACTATTATTAATTACATTGAATAATTTTTGAATGTTAAATAAACCTGGTGTTTCTGGGATATGGCTTGCACAGTCATAGTGATTTATGCTTTTTATATGTTGTTCTATGTGACTGATGAAGTATTTTGTTAAGAATCTTTGCACATATATTCATGTGAAATACTAACTTCATCTTTTCTACTTCTTTCCTCTAATATTTGTTGTGTATTTGTCAACTTAAGAAACATTTCCTCCACCTTTATCTTCTTAAAGATCTTGGGTAAGAATGGTTATCACTCCTCTAAATATTTGATATCATTTACCAGAAAAACCATTCAGGCCTGAAATTTCCTAATCAGGAAAGTTTCTTGTTCTATGATTACACTTCATTCAGTAGATCTAGTACTATCAAGATCTTCAGTTTCTTCTTGTGTCTATTTTCATAAGTTATATTTCTCAAGGAATGTGTCTATTTTAATCTGTTTTTAGCATTATTGCTATACATTTGATCATAACATCCTTTTATTAACATTTAATGTCTGTGGTGTTTGTTTGCCATATCCTCCTTCATTCCCAATTTGATAACTTTGTGAACTCTAATTCAGCATTCCAGTGATTTGTCAATTTCTTGATTTTCTTCTTGAAATTTGTTTCATTCGATTTTTTTCTTTCCTTATACATATTTTTATTATTTATTATTCCCTTTCTTCTATTTTCTTTGGTTTAATTTCTCTTCCTGTTTTAGCTTTTTAAAACAGAATTACATCATTTAATTTTTTCTATTTAATATAAATGTTTAAATATTTGAGTTTCCTTCAAAACATTTCTTTGCTGCATCTTACAAATTTCAATTTGGTGCATTTTCATTTCTATTTGAAGTTTAATTATCCGAATACTTGTTTAATCTGTGTATTGTTTATAATTGTGTTTAGTTTTTGAAAATTGAAGACTTCACTAGATGTCTTGATACTGATTTCTAATTTAATTACTTTATCATCAGAAAGCATTCTGTAATATTTCTACTTTTTGAAAGGTATGTAGACTTATTCTGTGGCTCGGCATATTGCTCATCTTTGTGAATAATCCATGTGAACTTGAAAAAAAAGTATAGTTGTTGAGTGTGGTGCTGTGCAGCTAACTAGGTCCAGGTGTTTGGCAGTGTTGTTCACATCTTCTATATCCTTACTGATTTTTTCTCTCATTATCTCAAATGCTATGTATGAGGTGTAAAAACATCTTTTGCTGTAACTGAGGATTTGTCTACCTCTCTCTTTAGTTCTATCAGTCTTTGCTTAATCCTTCTTGAAGATCTGATATTAGATACTTAACATATTTATCATTAAAATGTTTATTTTATGAACTAATACTTTTATAATTTGAGAATTTCTCATTTTTATTTCTCATAATGCTTGTTTTGAAGTCTATCTTGACTGATATTAATATAATCACTCTACCTGTCACATGTGCTTTAAAAATACCATCAACCGGGCTGGGGATTTAGCTCAGTGGTTTCGCCGCCTGCTGCGCAAGCGCAAGGACCCGAGTTTGATCCCTGGTACCAAAAAAAAAAATACCATTAACCAAGAATCCTCTATCCAGTAAATCTGTTCTCTGAAAGTTCAAATAAACAGAAATTGACAGAATTTGTTACCACTAGATTTACCTTATGAGCAGTCTTTAAAAGGAGTCCTGCAGGGTTGATCCCTGCACTACAAAAACAAACAAACAAAAAAAAAACCAGTACATAAACAGACATATAGAGCAATGGAACAGAATAAAGAACCCAGAAAGAAATCACATATGTTTTCAAATTATTTTTGATAAGGATGCCAAGAAAATTCAATTGGGAAAGAGCAATCTTTCAACAATTGGAGCTTGGAAAACTAGATATCCACGTGGAAAACAAAGATGTTGGCACTTACCTATCACCATATATAAAAATTAAC